ATGATATAGATTGATATATAGATTTTAGAATAATTTTTTTTATATAAAATATATATAAATAATTTGTGATTGAAGTTATTTATATTAAAATTATGAAGTATTTGTAGTTGATAAAGTTAAATGTAGTTTATGATGAATGGAAGATAATATTGTAGAGGAAACTATTTGAACTTTTTTTATGTACGAATTGGATGAATGTATTGTTTGTAGAATTTTATTGTTTGGTTATTTAGGAGGTTCTTCTATTAAGGAAGACTATCAATTTTTTTTAAATTCTAATATTTTTTGAATTTGTTAATCATATTAGTGATATGGATCATAAGTGGATGTCGGCTAATCGATCATCTAGAAAATATTGTGATGGTGTGGATGAGTTTATTGAGTTTGCATTTTATTATAATCAAGACCCTCGTGGAGTCATATGTCCTTGTTTAAATGTTGCTATGGAAAAAGCGTAAGGCCAATAGAATTGAAAGATCATTTGATATGTAATGGGATTGATCCAACTTATATTTGCTAGATCATGCATGGGGAGACAAGAAATAATGCAAGTGATTGGAATGATAGTGCGAGCTACTTAGCAGCATTGATCATGGTAGTGGGACATATAATGTTGACCATCTTGACGAAATAATTGATATGATTGAAGAGGATCTTTGGGATTATCCTGAGATGTTTGAGAGGTTGAAGAGTAATGTTGACACAACCATTGTACTCCAATTATAAGAAATTCATAATCATAAATTATCAGTTGTTTCTGAATTTATACAACCTAAACCTACTAATGGATGGAGCAACAAGAGTTTCACTGATTTACTTGAACTATTGTATAAGATGTTGCTAGAATACAATAAGATTCCACATAATACTTTTAAGGCTAAAAGAGTGCTCTATTCTATTGGAATGAACCATGAGAAGATACATGCATCTCTAAATAATTGTTTCCTCTTTCAAAAAGAGTATTCAATCTCAGATAAGTATCCAAAATATGATGCATCATGGTACAAGAGAAATGGATGTAGTTTGGCGAAGGCATTGTTGTATTTCTAATATATACCAAGATTTAGATGCCTATACAGCATTGCAGAAGATGCTAAACACTTAACATGGCATGTTGATGAGACAATTAAGGATGGCAAGCTACAACACCTTACAGATTCTCCTCAATAAAAAAAGTTTGATCTTATGATCCTTAAGTTTAGAATAGAAGTAGAAACATATGCCTTGCATTAACCACTGACGGAATGAACCCTCATGGCATGCAAAGCAATACTCATAGTAGATGATTGGTCATTTTGATTATCTATAACCTTTCTCTAGTATTATGCATGAAGTATAAGTTTATGATGCTGTCATTATTGATTTCTAGGCCTCGACAACTAAGAAATGATATAGATGTGTATTTAGCTATGTTGATAGAAGATCTGAAGATACTGTGCGAGACAGGTGTGGAGGTTTATGGTGGGTATAGAGAAAAACATTTCATCTTATGAGTAATGTGTTTAGCACCATAATAAATGACTTTCCTGCCTATAGCAATTTGTCAGGATATAGTATTAAAGGGTGAGATATGTGTCTAGTTTGTGAGGAGCACACTTGTTCAGTGCGATTGGAACATTGTAGGAAGAACATCTTCATTGGTCATTGAAAATTTTTATCGCAAACACATCATTACGGATGGTTGAAGAAGACCTTAAATGGCCACCCGGAGAAGGGTAGAGTTCCTTTTCCATTAACCAGTGAGGCAGCTCTTTTAAAAGGTTAATGATCAAAATATTGAATTTGAAAAATCATTTGCAAGTAAGATTGTTAAGAATTGTTGGAAGAAGAAGTCAATATTCTTTGAACTACTATATTGGAAGACCCTAGATGTTAGACATTTCTTGGACACGATGCATATCGAAAAGAATGTCTACGATAGTCTTATTGGCACGTTACTCCACATTTCAGGAAAGAGTAATGACAATATTAATACAAGGATGGATTTGATTAGTATGGGGTTAAGAGAAGAGTTAGCACCAGAGAGGAGGGGAAATGTACTTTTTTACCTCCAGTAGCTCACACCTTGTCTAGAAAGGAAAAATTAGCTTTTTATAAATTCTTGCATGAAATAAAGTGCATAAGGATATTCTTCAAATTCCAATAACCTCATATCCATGAAAGACCTTAAACTAGTAGGTCTCAAGACTCATGTTTGTCATATCATCATGAAAATTTATTGTCGGTAGGTATACGATTCATTTTGCCGAAAAAGGTGCAAGCCATGATTATCAATTTTATTTCTTCTTTAAAGCAATTTGTAGCAAGGTGATTGACCTAGAGAAAATACCAAAGCTTAGAACATGAAATAGCTAAGATTTTAAGCAAGCTTGAAATGTATTTTCTACCTTCGTTCTTGGACATCATGGTCCATTTATCATTTTACTTAGTTAGAGAGATAAAATTGTATGGTCTCGCTTATTTAAGATGGATGGTACTTAGTAGAGAGTTACTTGAAGGTATTAAAAGCATATGTAAAAATCAAAGTTAGCCTGAATGGTGTATTGTTGAGAGGTATATTATGGAAGAAGCAGTTGAATTATGCATTGAATATCTCTTTAATGTGGATGCCATTTTAGTTACCAAAGTACTCAAAGGGACCTATAGGTGAATAGGGTGGAATCATTGGGAAGAAACTCATTAGCATAGATAAGACACAATGAGAGCAAGTTCGCTTGTATGTTTTACACAAACACTGCAGAAGTTGAGCCATATGTCAAAGAACATAAGGCAATAGTTAAGATTCAGAATAAGGGTAAGAATGAAACTTGGCTAGCAATATATCACAACTAGTATTTTATATATTGGTTTAGAGCTCGTATCTCTGATGAGTCTCCCATAAAAAAGGTTGAGGTTTTTGGCTAGGGGTCTCAAATTTGAAGTATTTTCTTACACAGGTTATGTAATTAATGACTTTACATTTTATACCAAAAGTAAAGATGGTCGGAGCACTATGCAAAATAGTGGTACAACGCTTATAACTTAATCAATACATGACTCTAGTTTAAAGACAAGAACCTAATCTATGCAATGATGTCATATTTTGAGATTATAGAGTACTTTTGGGATTAGATTATATCAAGTTTCGTGAACCTATCTTTTGTTACACATAGGTTGACATAAAAATGGCTCTCAAATTGATAAGTAGGGTTTTATTCAAGTAGATCTTAATAAGGTGGCTCATAAAGATGAACCATTTATTTAGGGTCACAAGCTCAACAAGTGTTTTATATGTTAGATCCAGCGCATAAAAATTGGTCGATTGTTCTTTTAACAAATAAAATAAGGAGAAATGAAGAGGATGAAGATTTCAATGTTGAAGATGACCATTTCATGGCAACATCATGGACATTTGATATTTGATCAGGGATAATGCCTTTTATGTTAGAGAAGATCACACGGAAAGGGATTTAGATTGATGGATATATAGAACACACAAAAGAAAAAAAAAACAAATCTTAATACTTGTAAGATCTTTCTTTAAATTTTCTTTTATTTGTTAAAAATTTACTTTTAGTTGTTAAAAATTTACTTTTAGTTATTAACAAATTTCCTTTTTTTTTCTTTTAGGTAAATGGCTACCCTACCTGAGAAGAGTAGTGATGCTCCACCACTGAAGAAGAAGCATTAAAGAGGTTAAGCAAGGTAAAATTGTTATGAAAGTAGTGATACAGCTCGAGCAGCTGGTTGTAAATTTTAATACATTAGAATGATAAGGGGCTAACTAGTTAAATCTCCTCAGTTGATCAGTTATATAGGAGTCTTACCTCATCATTATTGTGCCTTATTGCATTGCAGATTGGAGAAAGAAAAATACCCACAGCTTAAAGAGGCAAAAAATAATTCTAGGAAGATCTGCGTATATGTTTTTTTACTTAGATGAGAGTAATAAGAATTACATCATGAGAAAAACAACATATGCTTTAGAGAAACTTTCAAGCTACTCTTACAACATATCATCTCAAAGATGTAAATGGAGAATTCAATCC